GCTTACAACAATATACTGTACACAGACAGAATGCCAGATGCTGCTCTGGGTCTATAGGATCCCTGTAGTTGGTCATCTGGCTGCGCGTATCAATTGTCCCATATTATAAAAAGTGAGATTGTCTTTGTCTTTTTATTATAAAGCAGGTCAAAGTGGATTATAAAACTGTGAAAGTATCAAAATACTCAATCCTTGGAGAAATACACACGGCGCGTATTCAGAAACTTTGCCTAAAAAGCTTTCAGGATTTCCATATGGTTATGATGTCCCAACTACACAATATTGATCTCACAGATTTAAACAAAACATTCTCAATGTGTCTCAATGTATTTCAATGCATGTGTATGTGATCGACATAGGAACAGGAAGTAAACATGGACCCCAGCTGTTGCTTAGCAACGCAATTCCGTTAAAACTTGCTAAAATGGGTGAATGCAGGTATATTCAGACAAGACGGTATGAGAGTTCTTTGAACATCAAAGCATTTTAACATGTTCTAGTATAAACCCAAATACAAGTACGAACGTGGAAATGAGCATGATATCCTTTAAATATTTAATGGATTATGAAAATTGTGTCATGGGTACTGTTAAAAATGACATGACTTTTTTTTCTGCTTCTTCTAGGCCTTTCCACGTTGAGCCCAGGAATATCGTAGGTGATGACCCGCAGGAGAGGGTCTCTGCTGAGGCTGCCATCCTCAACAGCAGAGTCCATTACTACAGCAGACTGACAGCCTCTTCTGACAGACTGCTGGTAGGTCCAATCACGACCTAGTTAGTTATCACAGCTATGTACGGATTATCATGACCGTTGCACTAATGCTCTAAGGGTACCTTACTCACACACGACACATGGTAGCAATGGTCCAAATGACCTAGACACACACCATGTTCTGGCCTTTATTGCAGTCACTGTATGTTTATTATTTTGGTATTAACCATATTTTCGTTCTGCTATGTTCAATGTATACCATGTACATCACACATTATTTATCTCAAATGTAGTACAGAGCCACAACTGCAACCAAACAGTCACACAACGCACAACAATGGTGAAATCCAGCTTTGTTCTGGCATCCTTATAAAGAGAAGTCATCAAAACTCCTCGACAGTTCAAATCTGGTCCATAAGCATGTTCAGGCATATTTGTTTGTTTTTAATCACCGCATTTGCTTGCAAAAAATCATCCCCTGTTCACACAATAGCGGTGCAACACGCTGCCATTTATTGTGAATATAATCCAAATAGTATTCTGACATCTCCTCCTGCGATTAAAGACTGTCAAGTCTCCGAGGAGGAGAGTAGGAGGAGTTGAGAGAGGTTCAACTTCATGTCGATTTTTTTCTTGATATGGGGGAGCGACAACATGGATGTAACCAATCATGCATCTATTTAGTTCCCCGGGGAAGGCGAGCACAATAGTTAGCTGAAAAGATGTTAGCTCCGACTAAACTATATAAAACCATGTGGGAAAGGCCGTTCATCGCGGTCATTGGCTCTCCCATTAACATTGATATGATTTTATAATGAGGATCAACTGGAAGCAAAAGCCTACTATTTTCAGTTTCTATGTGACAACAGCTTGTTATATACAGATAAGGTGCAGTGTGTAGCATTTGGTGTCATGTAGCAGTGAGGTTGCAGATTGCAATTACTTAAAACTTCTCCTGTGTGCCAAGTGTGTAAGAGATCTATGGTGTCCGACACAAAAAAGTGGAAACGCAGATGGCCCTGTCTTCAGTGTTTTGGTTTATACGTTCTGGGCTACTGTAGAAACATGATGGCCGGCTCTTTATACACTAAAGAAAACATACTTATTAATATCATATTCTATACCTGCCAATACATCTCCCTAAATGCTACACACCGTTACTTCACGACAATGCACACATCAAGAAATGTTGCCAGTAATCCACAACCCAGTTTTTAGTAGCTCAGATGGAGATGCACTCTGTTTGCCAGCTTTAATCGAAGACCTGTTTATCAGAGAGATCTTAAATTTCCATCAGAAAGAATCCCACCAAACCGTGTGCCATCTCCTCTGTAGCAGTCAATAAGCACACACTCTTGTGGGCACTGTTGACAGATCTACAGCAAAAGCCACACATGCTGACTCATTTGTTAAACCTGGCTACCTGGTAACGAGCTGGCTGTAGTCGAGGCACCTGGAGAGGTCTGTTGTGTTGGTAAAGATATTGTTAGCTAAAGGAGAGTTGGTAAAGCCACTGTGCAGAAAAGCTGTAGTCTAATTAGACTAGGGCAATCGTCAATGAACAAAATAACATGATTTCACTGTAAATATCACGATTGGTGACATAGCAATCATATTGGTTTTACGTCTGAACAGGCGATCTGCTGTTGTATGACTGTTGTTCTTTCCCTAATAAACCAAATGCGATGGTTTCAGCCACTGCTATAGCTGCTTTTATCTCCTCTGGCTGCAAGGCCTCTAAGGTCACCTAAAGACTAGCAGCTTCAATCTTCATTTCTCTCTCTCTGAGTTAATGGTGCTCCGGTTTTCACTGCTTTTGCAGAGGTAAGAACGAGCGCTGATAGACTTGACTTCATTCTGTGTCATCTTGCTTGCTTAAAACTAAAGCAGCCCAGTACACATTTTATTATTTGTACCTGTGCTTTTCATCCTGTGACATGTCAAAATGTATTAAGTAAAAAGGCCTATTGTCCATGCTCACTGTGTACCGTTCCAGTACCCATACGATTTAGTATGTCCCAATACATAGTATAGCTAATGCTGCATATCCAGTTGCATTTTGCAGTGTGCTAGCCAGCATGCTTTTCTGGTTATTCTGACAAACAATCCTTTTTGCTGCATATATATGGGGAAGAGGATCAAAGTTCAAGGTGCCATGTTAAGAGGAAGTACTATGTCCCAATTGAAAGCATACTGCATGCAACAGTATGTACTTTGTAAGGGCAGCTGTAGTATGTACTAAAAGTATGAAGTAAAGGTACAGTCGGGGCCATAAGTATTTGGACTATGACACAATTTTTCTAATTTTCCCTCTTCACACACTCTAATGGATTTGAAACGAATCAGTCAATATGTGGTTGAAGTTTAGACTTTCAGCTTTAATTCAATGGATAAAACAAAAAAATCACAATAACCGTTTAGGAATTACAGCCACTTTTACACAGCCACCCACATTTTCAGAGGCTCAAAAGTAATTGGACAATTGTCTGACACTGGCCAGATGTGTCCTGTTCTGTCACTATTTCATGAAAAATTATGCAGATAATAGGATTCAAATTGTTATATTGGTAGTTGGTCCTTGGAACTCTCAGCATACGGACCAAAAAGGTGTCAATGCAAGTGAAGGAGGCCATTATTAGGTTCAAATTGGTGTACCGTCATAACGTCTACCGAAGTCAAGAACACTCTGGAGGAGGTAGGCGTGCCATTGTTAAAGTCTACAATCAAGAGACACCTTCATGAATCTAAATACATTACAACAAGGTGCAAACCTCTGGTAACACTGAAGAACAGGAAGGTCTGATTAGACTTTGCCAGAAAACATCTGAAAAAGACTGACTAGTTTGGGAACCAGATTATTTGGACAGATGAAACCAAGAATAACTTGTACCAGAATGATGGAAGAGAAAAGTGTGGAGAAGGAAAGGAACGGCTCATGATCCAAAGCATACCACATCATCTGTCTAACATGGTGGAGGCAGTATGACATGGGCATGTATGGCCGGCAATGGATCTGGGTCGCTGGTGTTCATTGATGTCACAGCTAATAGAAGCAGCAGGATGAGTTCTGAGGTGTTTAAGGCTAAACTATCTGCTCAGATTCAGCCTAATGCTACAAAACTGATTGGATGACGCCTCACAGTGCAGATGGATAACGACCTAAAACATACTGTGAAAACAACCCAAGAGCTTCTCAAGGCAAAGGAATGGAATATTCTTCAATGGCCAAGTCAGTGATCTCAACCCAAGCGAGCATTCTTTTCACTTACTGAAGATAAAACTAATGGCAGAAAGACCCACAAACAAGCAGCAGCTGAAGGAGGCTGCAGTAAAAGGTCTGTCATAGCATCTCAAGGGAGGAAACTCACTGTTTGCCTGAAGTCTGGCACCATAAACATCACCAATCATTGACTGCAAATGATTTTCCTCCAAGTATTAAAAATAATGATTATATTAACAATTATGTCAGTTTTTCCAATTACTTTTGAGCCTGTGTAGAAATGGCTGTAATTCCTAAACGGTTATTGTGATTATTTTGTTTTATCCATTGAATTAAAGCTGAAAGTCTACACTTCATCCACATATTGACTGATTAGTTTCAAATCCATTGGGGTTGTGTAAAGAGGCAAAATTAGAAAAATTGTGTCACAGTCCAAATACTTATGGCCCTGACTGTATGTCATTTAGAACATAGCTACAGTAATATCTCTCAAAATGTTGGACAACATTGCTGGGGCAACATTAAGGATGCTTTTAATGTGTTGGTTTTATTTACAGAGCAACTAATGTCAATAGATGTTAAAGCATAGGAAACATGACCAGTGGTGATGCACATGCATTTGACAACACATTCCATTGTCAGACATGGCTCCATCTTCACCAGTGTTTACAGATTATTTACCAACATTTTCAACCTCCTCTTTCATTTATCAAACAAAAACAATGAGCATTAGTGCCCTGTACCTTGAAAGGAATGCGGTCAAATAGATAAGTGGTCGTGTTAGCAAGCGTTCAACAGTAAACAGCTCTTCTGTTTGAGCTAATTTTTCAAAAAGCCTCATGTTGCGGTCCCTGTGAGGACTTCATCTTTAGTATCTGGCTGTTTTTTCCTCAGAGTCCACCAAACCATGTGATCCCTGGGCCGGAAGAGCTCTACATCTACAGCCCACTGGGGACAGCTTTCAAGGTGACAGGCAGCGACCCCTCCTCTAAAAACCCCAGTATCATCACCATGTAAGCCCTGTCAGCGAAACAGTCTGCAGTGTAATTGGTCAGGAAATCAACCTGTGCTAAATGTTGTCTTCGTACTTGTGAATGTCTTTAACTGCTGTGATTAATACTTTGCTTTTCTCTCCTCACAGATTTGCTATATGGAACACAATGATGGGCACATCCATACTCAGCATACCTTGGGGTATAAAGCAGGTGATTTGCTTCATTCCACACTCTTCGAGTGCTTTGCTCATTTGAAGCCACTTAAAGGATGAGCTCTGTATTGACCTCAGTTATTCTTGAATTACTGATTTGCAGTACGTATGCTCATTAACTTTGCCTTACAGTACAAATGCTGAAATATGAACAGTCAGTGGTGTTTTTGTCCCGATAGGCTGGTTTCACTTTGGGGGTCCTCATCCTCATCTTCACAGGCCTGCTGATGCTCTACTGTTGTTACATCGTCCTCAAATCCCCCAAGTCAATACGTAAGTCCAACAAAAACAGAACATTTAAACAAGTAATAAATGGGTATTATTCTTTTATTCTTCTTTCCAAGAACTGTAATTGACAGCAAGGCTCTGGACTATTTTTTGTGCGTGATCGAGGGAAGTTAATAATATACCGTTTAACTGCCAACCTTCAATAGGAAATTTCACAGATTAATGCAAGCAGTTTAATGGTTAAAGTAATATTAAAATCAAATTTTAAAAAGTTAGGCAAAATTCTTAACAGGAGAATAGCTGGTCTTCCCTAAAGGTCAGCCCACCTGAAATGAACCTGATTCGGAGTTGTTGCTAACGTCGAGGCAAACCTCCTTTTAATTTGAATCAGCTGCAGGTGACAAGTAAGACACGGAAGTTACGGTTGGTCTTCAAGAGTATTAGCATTTATTCACTGACAAATAAACGCACTGCTACGTTCACTCACAGCTATAACGTTACTGCTGAGTCATACTCATTGTCACACACGCTCTTTCTCTCGCCCTCTCTCTCGGCCGGACACTTGCTAATGTTAAGCCGGGCCTGCAGTACGCTGGTGTAAACCCTAACAGAGTATACTCCGTACTGTCGGCAGTCGAGCTGGTCACTGTGATTACTCTGAGCAACATGCCTGGGAATGAAAAACAATATAACAAGTCTCTGATCAAGAATATTAAACGTCTTAAGTCTTAAATGTTGCTTTTGTGGGTTATGTGCGTGGGAGGCTGTGACGTTACTGTCTGTTCGTGGTGTAACGGACCACGGTTGATCCGTGATCCGTACGGAGCCTCCGCATCCAACAAGCCTCCGATGTTCTTGACAGCTGGTGGGATATCAATGAAGAAGGCTGAACAGTGTGTCTCATCATCTCTCAGCCTTTTTAAAGATGTGGAGCTGACAGAAGGCGGGGGGGTGGGGGGGGGAAATAAAGAAGCCTCACTTTTATGACTCGTGGTTGCCAGTCTAGCCGAGTGCTTTCCAGACTCAGTAGACCTGGGATAGACCTGTTGTGCATAAGCTAAATGTTGTACAGCGATACACAAATGTGGGTGTGTCAGGTTCGAGTGTGTGTCGGGTTAGAGAGATAGGCCAGTGTGTTCAGCTTTACTTTAGCCGTGGCGATGCGTGTGCTGTGCAAAGCGGTTATAGCTTGTTGATTTCCTTGGCAGTTGCATCCATACACTTTTGTTTTGAGTCTGTATAAGACTTCAACATAACTCTGGAGCACGAGGGGGTAGTGATGCACGGGTCAGTGTTTGTTTTTTAATCGTCGCTCTGCAAGGTGCTGATCCTGCGGTTGGGAGCAGCTACAATAGGGAGCTTTCCAGGGTGCTGTCTGTCTCCTCTGCCCACAGAAGTGGGAAGATTTAGCTAAATAAACAGACAAAATGTTCATTGTTCCTTATCGTTGAATAGCAGCAAAACAAGTACCCGTTCATTAAAGACACTTATAGGGGGGACCCCCACTGTCACCGGGTATTTCGCATACTGCGCAAAACTATCATAATCGGAAATATGAGACACGGTCAACAGCTGCTGAACGATCGATGCATTTCAGGGAATACGCAACTGTTGTCAGCTAACTGGTACAATAATGAGTATAGTGAAAGTAACTGACACTATATTATTAGCCCTCGTTAAGCCGTGGGCGCTTTAATATTATTATTTGTTTTTATTGTTTGTGCTGAGTGTGAAGGTAACCTTCATAGCTTTATCAAGGACATTTGTTCAGGCACCGTGACGGAGTCAGAGCGTGAGAGCTGGCAACAATGTTGACGTTATGAGAGAAAGTATTTAGCACATTATTCCTACTGTTTCTCAGGAAGGGGAAGTGCCTCCATTGTGTGATGTACTGATTCAAATTAAAGGGGCTATGTGATATTTTCCAATGAAAGTTTCTGTTAACAATCAGTGTTTCTTCATAAGTGTATCATTGAGGGCTAATTACAAAGCAGTTTTTTCTAATTAGTTTTAAACGTGCAATGTTAACATTCATTTTGACTTCTCCCCTGCCTTTGTTGGTGCACTGGTTTGTTTCTCGGCATGTTACCACCCACTCACAAAAACATTGCTCCGTAGTGTTAGTAGAGCAATGTTAGCATACAAGTGGTGCAAATATAAACAGTAAACATGTGTTTTACAAATAAGCAAAGTGGGAGAAGCTGCAGGTTGCAGAAGTAATTTGTTTTCACTGTAAAATCCACATCCAATTTCTGTAACAATAAATATCCTCAGCAGAGAGGGTCGGAGATCTCCTACATCAGTTAAGTTTGCGCAGTTGTTTTTCCCCTGTCAGCTTGGCAACATTACTTTGTTTCAGGTGATTAATCGCAAATGGAGATAAAGTTATGAATATTATAATATTGCCACTAGATCCCCCGAAAGACACCACACACTGCTCCTTTAAGATTGTATGTCTGCATGCCTGTAGTCATGACCATTAAGAGCATCAACATACAGTATACTGATATCGTCTGTGACATGACTGAAAGAATCCCACATGTATCTATTCATTCTCTGTGTCCTCTCCAGCCTACGTGGACGCATCCGACTGGGAATTCCCTGATGTTTGCAGGTACTACTTTGGCAAGTTTGGCCAGTGGTCCAGCTTGGTCTTCTCGATGGTGTCACTTATTGGAGCCATGGTGGTTTACTGGGTCCTCATGTCCAATTTCCTCTATAACAGCGGACAGTTTATCTACAGTAAGTCACAATACAAAGATGTATCACGTCATTTTGTAGTTCTGTTTAGTTGATTATTTAATCAAAGACAATTCAGCATTTTACAGCACGCATCCGAACACTTCACTCTCTGGCTACTCTACCTCGGCTACTTCTATCTGTACAATGCGTTTGGTTTGTAATTCAAATGAGCTGACGCTGTGCAACATGGCTGATGTGTGTTGCCCTTTAGTCTGCCTTGCCATGTGCTCACCATTGAGTTCACTGTCATGTTAAATAGCACATTATGCCTTCAAAGGTTTAGTTACATCTTTAGTAACATTAAGCCATGATCACAGTGGTACATATATGTTCTCCACAACAGCGAGCTGAGGCTTGATGTGATGAAAATAGTCGGTATATCTTGTCCCTATTTAAACAGACACCTAGCAAGGCAAGACACAATGACTGAACAACTGGATATTTGCAAAATCTTGAGAATGTGATTGTGTATTGAGCTGATATATAGCAGAGCATTAAGTATTAGCATTCTAGTTCATGCAGTCAGGATCACTACATCATAGGTTATTTGTCTGTTCTGTAAATATAATGTGACTACACATCAGTATTAAGATTTTTCAAACCACTTTTGACTTGTAACTTCTATTTTTGGTTGTATGGGTATGTATTCTTCTTGGCACAATAACCATCTCAGAAAATATTACGCTATTATCATCATCATTTACATCATCATTTGTTAAGAATGCTGTGATTATTAACATGAACATAAACTGTAGGTGCCAGAGTGCTCCTGGCTGAACCTTTAACTCACACACACTCACTCACTCACGTCAGTTTACCCGATACCGTCGATAAACAAATGTGCACGTTATGATAACTGTCTAATTAAACACTGTGATACCGTGATACCGGAATAGCTTTAGAACAGCTGCTCGTAGATCATGGTTATTTTCTGCAGAGATGGTTCCAATAAAATGTGCGAGAGCTTTGGCTTTGATCTGATGGTTTCTTTTTCTGTCTCCAGACTATGTTCACAATGTCAACGTGTCAGATTCCGAGTTTGGAACCAACGGCTCAGATAAAGGTATGTCACTTACACTATACAATGTTCAGCTCTGAATCTGTTGTACACGTGGGGTTTAGCAGGAGTCAAATTGTGAGAATTTGGTCCTAAATCTCTGACACAAAGAGTGTCTTTGGTCCTCAAAGCTCTAAATTGAGCACAGATCTAGGACCATTGTTTTAGACTGAGGACTACGTTTCCTCTCACAAATGTCAACTTTGGTCGGAGACAACCCTGAATCACAGCGTAGAGGGACCTTTAGTCTTGCTAAATTGTCTGTTGGCAGATGATGGCTAACATGGGATTCTAAGCAAATAAAGACAGGAACAGAATACCTCAGGAAACAAAATTTTACTGTACAGTTTTACAGCCTATGCATTTGATTATAATAGATAACCCGGAGAGGGACTCAACCTTATGGGTTGCCACGAATGGTTACTGTGCATGCCACATAACCACAATGTCACCAGTTCGATTCCAACCTTGAGACCTTTGTTGCATGTCATGCCCCCTCTCTCTCCCTGTTTCCAGTCTTGCCACTAAACTCTTCACCAAAAATGAGAAAGAAAATCTCAAAATGAGTGATATTTAGAATAACGTTACAGTCAGAACAGGAACCTGACATCGCTGAACTTGCTTTGGTGTATTTACTCGCATGCACACAGGCATCTGTTTTAGAGACAATGGTGAAGCTGATGAAGTTGTTTGACTGTGGGGTTTACTTTGGTTACAGTAAGCTTTCATTGTTTTATGTCACCCTTTCATTATTATGGTAGTAGTAGTTAAAATATTATCACTCAAAATATAAGGTCACTAAAAATGTTAACCAGTCCTTTTTTAAATGATCTTATGTAGGTGAATGCACTTGTTGTGTTGTGCTCTGCACACTTCATATTATAAAAAATCGCTAGCTGTTTCCTCAATCTCAAGTAGGAAAAAACCCTTTTTCAGTTAGTAAAATGACTGTCCGGATGGTTGTTGTTGTTTTTTTACCAGTCATCTGTCCATTTCCAAACACTAACCCTGGAGGGAACTCCACCATCGTCACACTTTACCTTGGTAACAGTGGAAATGAAACTTCTGATGTCTCTTTTGATCACTGGTGGAGCAAAACCAACACCGTCCCCCTGTACCTCATCACCCTGCTGCTGCCGCTGCTCTGTTTCCGCTCAGCCTCCTTCTTTGCCAGGTTCACGTTCTTGGGTAAGCTAAGATCAATGATATGAAGAGTGTGTAGCAGTGTTGGAAAAAAAAGCTCTCATTGTGACACCAACATTTATTTCCAACTCCTTTGGTGTTTTGAAAGTCAACACAGCAGTGGTGTGGGGATCACAGTGGGCTTCTTTAGATCTTTGATTGTGTTTGAACCCTAGATAAAGATAAAAGCTGCTTCCATTGTTTGGCAGCCAGGTCAGTGTGTTGGATTCATGACTGAAACACGCTTCACTTCTGTTTCAAGAAACCTAACATCTGAGTGCCGGTGTGTGGGCTCAGCAAGCCAGCATGTTGAGGATAAATAGTAATCAAGTAATAAATAGTAATCAAGTAATATGTGCGGAAACCTGCTTACTGGAACTCTGTTCCAGTAAGCAGGTTTGTTGAGTTGAGGGAAACTCTTGAGTTTTCAATTTCACAAACGGAGATCACTTAAACTCTGGGTCAGTTACTGGGTTAGTTGTGTAACATGCGCTCTCGGCCTAACCACAGCTTTTCATAAATAACCTGTTGAGCCTGGAGGAGCTGTCTGACACACTGTCTCAGCAATATCCTTCACATTTAAATATCACAGACTGTGAATTCATTCTTAGCTCAGAATAAAATCTGTGCATTGTCTGTTTTGCAAGTCTTGAGAAGTTTTGTGATGATGTGATTCTGTGCACATTGACAATAGTCAGTTATCAGTTCCTGTGCACCGACAGTAACAGTTACTGCACATTTCTGTAATAATCTCTGTTTAAATGAAGCAATTTGTGTGAAGCCTTAGAAGCATACGACACTGATCTATGAATAATCATCTTATATTTCTCATGTTGATTGGTCACACTGATTGGACAATTCTATCATAGTTATCATATAATATTAGAAATGATGTGAATATATCTCAATTAGCCTGATTGTTGTAACCTGAGCTGCCAGATAGTTTGTTACACAGAACCATTTGAGAAGGACGGGCACTTTCCTTCTGATTATGCTTTGTGCTGCACCATTCATCCATCCATTGTTGCATCATTCCATCTTGTCTAGGTACCATATCAGTGGTCTACTTGATCGTGCTGGTCACTATCAAAGCTGTCCACCTCGGCTTCCACCTGGAGTTCCACTGGTTTGACACGACCCAGTTCTATGTTCCAGGTAAACCTCCTGCAGATTTGAATGCTTCTTTCTACAGCACCTCGCATGAACCTAGTAGATGCACTCTGGCTAACTGCAGTCTAATTATATATGAGGTTCAGATTGTAAAGGGTCTTTCCTCTTACACTGGTATGCATCCCTTTTAATGTCTTCATCATCAATCCTTAGACGATGTTGTTGATCCATAAGCAGAACTGCTTTATGGCAGTACGGTGGAGCAGCTAGCTGGCATGTTTTCATTCAACTGAGGTTCGCTAGTCTTCACGCATCCAAGATTTTATTAAAATCTGGAGCTTGACATTAAATGTACTCTGCCCATGGGTGCTCCCCAGACCAAGAAACATTTCCATTCTGGGCACTCCGTGAGTTTTCCTCTGGTGCCACCCTAGGGCCAAAATATATATTTTTGCATACAGCGGATCTCATAATCTGAAAGTTCTGTTTCTGTACAGTAGCAAATGTATAATTTCTGTCTTTCAGAGTTCAGACTGCTCTTCCCTCAGTTCACTGGTGTCCTCACTCTGGCCTTCTTCATTCACAACTGTATCATCACGTTAATGAAGAGCAACAAGCACCAAGAGAACAATGTGAGCCCTGTCCACCCATGCTCCTGCCCAGCTTCACAAACATATGTTTGGCATTATAGTGTTCTAATGTGGTCTCTGCTGACTTTGTTTTTGTTTGAAAGTTGTTTCTTATTATTTTTGAGTGAATTATGCGAGTCCTTGTCAGTGCTTGTAACGTCCCTCCAGAAATGGGAAGGAAAGAGTCTTCGATTAAAATAGCAACCACATTCAGTCACAACATTTTATTGATCTGAGAATACAAAGTAAAGTGCTGCCCAGCCTAAGGTGGATGTGTTTTGGTGTTTTCAGGTGCGGGACCTGTCTGTGGCCTATCTTCTAGTGGGGCTGACCTATCTGTACGTGGGAGTGTTGATCTTTGCTGCCTTTCCCTCACCTCCTCTCTTCAAAGACTGCATTGAACCGGTCAGATTTATTTTTTATTATGGTTTTTGACACATAAATTTGAACTATAACTTGTCCCTGGCCAAGAACAAGTGTTTGTTTGCTGCAGATCGGGATCAAATAGTGCCACTATTTCACCATTTTACTTCTGTTTGAGAAGGAGAAGTTCCTTTTTCCTGTATTTCATACATTTAGTTGTGCCTGAAAAACCTCAATGGGTTAGTTGTGGCTCAGTGGTGGAGCAGGGTCGTCCTATCAGAGGATCGATGGTTCAATCCCGGCTCCGCTAGTCCATGTCTATGTGTCTTTGGGCAAGACACTTAACCCTTTACTTCCGTAGGCTGTGTGGTGTATGAATGGGTGTGAATGTCAGATAGTGTGGCACCTTGTATGGTAGCCCCTGTCATCAGTGTATGAATGGGTGAATGATGACATGTATGAAGACTGGATTTACCAGACTCTTCTAATGTGGGATTACCCAATCCTGTAAACACTTGCTTCAGAGTGCCGCTCTCTGACCTTCCAGTCCTTCAAAATGACAGACAGCCTTCAAATTTTTTGGTCATTATTAAAGAAAATCCATCAGTGACGGAAAATATTTGGTACACACAACCCCTGCTGCATACTACATACTCAATCAGTATGTGCTGCATACTGCCTATAAAAAAGCATCACTTTAAATGTTGTGTTTACCAGAGATGTGCTCATTAGTTTCTAAGAAATATGAGCATGAAATGAACATTTAAAAATTGCGTTAAAGTCATATTGTTATCTACCGTGACTGTAGCTTCCGTACAGATTCGTTACAAACCCCACATTGCAAACTCTCCACTACTTTCTTCTCGCCTACAGAATTTCTTAGATAACTTCCCCAGCAGTGATGTGATGGTGTTTGTGGCTCGGACTTTCCTGTTGTTCCAGATGATCACAGTCTACCCCCTGCTGGGATACCTGGTGCGGGTCCAGGTCATGGGCCAGATCTTTGGCAACCATTACCCCAGGTAGCATTGAAGGACATTATCATTAAAATTCTTGTCATTTCCATGGAAGCGGACCTGCACAGCAATGTATTTATCTTAAAGTGTTGTAAACTATAACAGATTTACATCAAACAAGCTGGATGGGAATAATAAAACGGAACAAAAGCCTAAATATGTGAAATTTGGCTTTCATAAACCTGCAGTTTGTTGGGATTACACTGACTATAGATGAACTTGCTAACACTATTTTCAGGCTCTTGTTTCCAATCTTCCAGAATATCAGACGTTTTCACATTGTCTCTCTTTAGTTTCTTCCACGTTCTGGCACTGAACATCTTAATTGTTGGATCTGGTGTCCTGATGGCCAAGTTTTATCCCAATATTGGATCCATCATAAGGTTTGTTTGAACTTGTTTCCCTAGTCGCATACACTGTATGATAGCAAATAATTCATTAATCAAATAGAATTAGTCCAAAAGATAGTTTTTATTTTCTTGAATAAACTGGTGTCTGACATTTGTATGTTGATCATGAAGGGTATGAAAAATGTTTGGCAGTTGTGACAATATTTCTGCATGTAGATAGATGTAGCCAAATCTAACATGTCTTTAATACTCCTTTAAAAAAGCTGTGCAGCATTTCAGCATTGTGCTTCTGTAGATATAGAGGGCAAGATGGGTCATGATGATATGAATAAGATGGACAAACAAATGTTTAAATTGACAATAAATGAAATAATTTTTAATGATGAAATGTATTAAATTATCTCTCACTATATGAAGAATTTGATCACTTTTTTTAGACTTTAACTCCATACTATGGAGTTAATGTAAAAACACTGGATCCTAGATTTCCCATGATGCTACTTGATTTGTTTGATTCCTCCCGGCCTAAGGCTACATCCACACAATACGTTTAAATCGATCTCCGTCCACACGGCGTCTCAGCATTTCAGCGGCGTTTTTGAAATGATCTCCGTCCAGACTACACTACTACGTTTCTAAACCTAAAGTTAGTAAGGCATGCTTTTTTTTCAGGCCTAACAACACAATATGCAATCATTAAGCAGCTGTTTTCACTAGCTGAGGGGGACTAACCTGTAGCATAGGCTGAGAGGTACAGCAATGTGTGTGTTCAGGCAGTCCCTGATAGCCACACTGTCCATTCCATTAGGTGTCGACCAAACGCACTGCAAACACATTGCGAACTGCTTCTTCAGACTCTCCATTCCATCACAAATCTGATTATCTTTACTAAATTGTGAACACTGCTTAGGAAATGCACTTAAAACAATATTTCTAAGGCTGACCCAAATGCTTCGAAGCGTCAACCCTTGCCATTGTAATCAATGTCCAAATCAATATTGGAATGGATGGTATTTGGAGGAGAAACTGACCATGGCGCTGAGGAGAGAGCTGAAGGCCTTCCAGAATTGGAAGATGAACTTTGGGCCTTGGTCCTTGGCTGAAAGCAGCTTGGGTAGAGGAATGAAATGAACCATCTTTGAGAATCTGTCCACTACTGTGAGGAACGGAGCCCGGTGAGAACCCAGAAGCAGCCTCATTACACCCTCATTGCTGCTAAATAAAATTAATTCTACCTTAGAGATTGGGATTTTTAATTTATTTTTTGAATTGTCATGAGGATGCAAAGTCATCAAGTCATTTAAAAAAAAAAAAAAAAAAATCAGTTTAACGCACAAGAGGGCCTGTTGTAAACTAAATGCTCTGTACTGATGTCAACTCTCTGTCTCCCTGTGCAGGTTTTCTGGAGCAACATGTGGCTTGGCTTTAGTGTTTGTCTTTCCTGCCTTAGTCCACATGATCTCCCTGAGAAGGCAGGGGGTTCTCCGCTGGCCCTCGGCCCTCTTCCACAGTTTCCTGATTCTGCTGGGCATGGCCAACCTGCTGGCTCAGTTCTTCATGTAGAGATCTTCAGACACAGACACTCTTAACTATTTAGAAGCAAGATTAAAAGATGTGATTGAGATCTCAGATGGGAAATATAGAATGTAGAATAGTGGAGTGCAAAATCGCATCAGGAAGACAGACACCGCTCCAATGTGGAAATAAGGAACTGTTTGCAAACAAGTTCATCATCTACACTTTAAAGGTGATGCCAATGTTGCGTTCACAAATTGTTTTTTATTGCAGGTTTAAATTTGTCATGAGGCTTTACAACTGGATTTTATGATCAGAGTTGAGTCGTGCTGACACTAGGAAATCATATTACTAACTTTGTGATTGTGATAACTGTTTATATGTTTTGAAGGCCATGTTGTCTGCATATTTTTTGAAAAATCTTAAAATTTTTATAAGCCGTTTATTTACTTGAAATGTTTGCATGATGGCTATTTTCTAGATACTGCGTCTAATGTGTTATATTTAACTAATGATAGGATAGACAAAGGGAATATATGTGTGAAAATATACAACAGGAGAAACTAGAAAATTCCTAAAGAAATTTTGACAGTGTGGCTTCTACTGCCCGAAGAAATCACAATATACACACGCCAATGTTACCGGTAGTGTCGTTCAGGTTCAATTGAGTTAGCGCTACTCTTTTCTGCATTTTAGATTCATACTCTTGGATTGAATCTTGTATTTGTGGGGCTTTTATTTTGAAAGGGTGGGACTGGGTGGGTGAGAAAGGGGGAGAGGAGACAGAATCATAATGTTTGACACTAAAATGAGAGGCTTCATCACAAGCATTCCAGTTAGAATTCATTCTGTGGGGCTTTAATTTGAATTGGGGGGAGGGGGGAAAGTCCTCTAAAAATATCTAAGACCTGAATGACTGTATGATGGAGACACAGAGAGGAGAGAGAAATAGACAGAAGAGAGAGAGTGAGTCGGACGGACGGACGGACGGACGGACGGACGGACGGACGGACGGACTGAGTGAGGGAGAGAGACAGGCATACAGACAGTTAGATGGACTGAGTGAGTGAGTGAGACGGGCAGAAAGGAGGTCTAATGATTTTTCCTTGAATATCATGTGTGTATTTTCACTTCGGGCCACATCAGCATCATGGTTTCCCTCAAAGGGCCGGTTGTAACTGTAAGACTGTATAACTGTAACTACTCCTAACATTGTTAAATAACTGTCTCTGCTTTTGATTATTGTTTATTCAAGTGTAAAAATATTGTACATGTAGTTATATAAATGTAAAATGATATTTAAGCACATTTCTGTTATAACATAAATCATTTTAATTTAGGGTTAAGAAACCCACATTACTCTATCGAAGATCAAACTATTAAAGAAAATAACAAAGACAAATATCATCAAACACAAGTTATTACATTAACTTTGTTCAAAGCTAGTTTTGTCACCTCTCTGCATCACTAATGTCCCTCCCTGCCGTCGTCCCGTGCATGGCAGCTACATCCGAGGGCTCCTCACTGAGAGTCAGGTCTGCCTTGAGCCTCTTACAAACATTGATAGATGATGTATCTCGTCTCTTAGCTAGCTGTGTTGTTAGATTGCCTGCTAGTTCCTGAACTCGGTCTGCAATGGTGTTTCTTCACAAACTGACATTTGTAAAAGTCTGTATCTGGTCGGAGCACACCTGCTCACATACCTTTAGCATGCACTGGGCTGTAGCTTTTGTAAATATATTCTGCTGTGATTGCAGTCTGCCTTTTAATTCTTGGAAAATTTTATGTTTTTTTGGAGGCTAAATTTAGCCCCGTGTTTGGTGTCAAAATGCCGACGTGAATTGTATCCTTCATCACCGACACGCATCATAACACAGAAGACAGACCTATTTTTCTCCTTGAAGCACAGACATGTATTCGCTTTCCCATCTTAAGTTACATTTTCTTCCCTCTGCATCAATTTTTCTCTTCGTGGACATTTTGGGATTATTTATCGATCTTTTTCAACTCAATCACTTGTTGGAAAACCACTTTACGGGCTGTTCCCTCTCCTGTCCACCTGTTTTAAAAAAAAAAAAAGGTAATAACTAATTAACCATATTGTTACCAAGTGACTGTTAGGAGGACAAGTAATCAATGTCCAGCCACGGTGATAATACTTCGGCGTGAAGAGAGCTAAAACTTTGGGCCCATATTGACTAGCCATACTTTAACGTAGAAATGTGATTCAAAGTTTAAAACGTAGACAAAACGCTGCACGTTATTGAGCCAAATGGACATTTTGATAGCTAGCACAGTTTTCATGAAGTCACAGATTAAGTTTCAGGAAAATGTTGGGTCCGTTTCAGATTTTATAATGGGTGTGTATTGCACGGCTCGTTAAGAGCTAGAGTGAGAGCATAACTGTCAGAGTGGAGCGGAGCTTGAAAATCTTCTGTGATTTTTCCAAACAAATTGCTCTAGCTCCCACAATTTTTACTCTTTATACACCATTTTGGCCAAAAGGCTTGGAAATGTTATGCTGGTCGCAGTAAAGTGTCTGTGGAATCCAACGGACTTACACATTTGGCTCAAAGAGCCGCAGAGCGACATGAACTCCAACCAACTGCTCCATTAGACTCCATGTTAAATCTCACCACTAATTTCTCAAAGAACGCAGACGGTACCAGTTTTGTCTATTGCTCTTGTTGGGAATAACAGCCTCAAAAAGGGGGCACCAATATGTTGGGAACGTAAAGGAGTGCGTTTGGGTTATCAGCACCTAAGAAACTAAATTCTTGACATCAATAGAATTATTAATGATTATTAATAACGGGGCACCACCCTGCGAACAGGGACCAATAACTAAACGATAAACTAAGTCTCATAATTAGTGTTCACTCACAATGTCAACAGTCTGAGTACTATTACACATTCAGAGTGAAAGTGAAGGTTTAAGTTCGAGCACAGACCACATATACAGCTATTATCACAATACACATGCACAAAGTAATCACAGACAGCTGCTCTTTAAAATATGAGAGTTTATTACATTCTAATACTAATGATCTAGTCAACTAATATCTAAACTAACAACAACTATACATTCATGAGCACGCTATCTAAAATCAACAGACGATTGAAAAGGGTGTGAGTGAGAGTGAGAGAGTAAGGAGGAGGAGCGAGGGAACAGCTCAGCAACGTATGACGTAGTTGGGACGTGGTGACGTCTCTCATGCGCGAGACTCAAAATGGCGGATAGCCAACAGGAGACCCGGCGTCTAGTGCCGGTAGCCGTTTAGCACGTAGCTACATTAGCTCAAAGCTATATGTGTGTGTTTGTGTGTGTGTGGATTAGTAAAAGAGAAGGGAAAAGAACAAAACAAAATTAAACAAAACGAGATTAAGATCCTTCGCTCCGCGCGGGAGTATGGAAGATTGCTCTCTCAGCCAGGGGAGCAAGAACCGCGACTCTTTGTCTCAGCCGGCGGTTTTAACCTCCTGAACTGATGAGAAGCAACTTCAACCTCACGAGGCAGCTATCTCAACACAGATCACGGTAGCATGAAATACACCCACTTCTCCCCAAAGATCTCAGCGACCGTTAGTGCCGGCGATTATTAAGCATACACCACGTTATAAAAATGAACAGTAACTTAAGCACACAAACAACATAAAATAAACACAAATGAACTCTCTCTAACTCTGCCCAGACTCTATTTTGCCTTATGGTACGATGCGATCGTGTTGATTGAGGGGGGTTCTTCTGAGCTTCGATGGGCACAGGCAGCGCGGCTGCGGGCCGTGGGAGGTGTTCTCTCGGTAGGAGAGATTCGCTGTCGTCTGGATAAGGGATTTTCGCGTCCTTTATGGCCAGAGCAAACGAGGTGCTTGGTGGAGAGTGGAAGTTCTCTCTCTCTGTCTGAAGAAGTCTTGCTTCTTCACTTCTGCAGGACTAAAAAGGGGTTCGCTTCGTGGATACGAACAAAGATAAAATAGACAGTTTGGTGAATTCGGGCAGCGAATATAAACTGTTAAACCTAGGATTTGGTTGAAAAGGGAAACAACGTTAGTGTGCTCCCTAGCTCGACGGAGGTCGAAGGGAAAAAGCATTGAGGTGAGGGTTGCAGGTAGTTTTGTAGAACAGTGGCTGAACCACAGGGGTCCTGGGGTGTCTTGGCCCTCGGCGAATTAGATTGCAGTGCTGCTTTCAGGTAACTTCAGGAACAGAATAGTTTTTGGGGGGAAGAAACTCACACCCTAATGTGAATTTCTTCAGAGTTTGGTGCTCAAACTACAATCAGGATGAAACCTTTGCTTGCAAAAGGGAAGGCCTGACTCTCTTTGTTCCACAGCACATGTCGAAGCCATATAGTCAGATCCCAACACTCTGGAGCTCACATTATTAACACCACAAACATAAAAAACACATCAGCGCATTTGCCAGAGTCTTATCTTTCTCACGGGATCCATATTTTGGCACTCAGACTCCTGCTAATTTGTTAACAAGAGGCAGGGTTTTTGTTCAAAATCACTGATTACTGCAACGTTTCTTAATCAGTCTGCCTGTAACACCAGGTGCGTGGCTCACCATGGCAACCAGTTACACACACGCACGCAGGCTCTCGTTCTCTGTCTGTCTGCCTGTCTCTCTCTCCCACTCACTCAATCCATCTAACTGTCTGCCTGTCTCACTCACTCTGTCTCTCTCTCTCCTCTCTGTCTATTTTTCTGTCTCTCTCTCCCTCTCTGTGTCTCTATCATACAGTCATTCAGGTCTTAGATATTTTTAGAGGACTTACCCCTCTCACCCCCCTCCCCCCATTTCAAATTAAAAGCCCCACAGAATGAATTCCAACTGGAATGCTTGTGATGAAGCCTCTCATTTTAGTGTCTATGTATGTATGTATGTATGTATATGTATGTATGTATGTATGTATGTATATATGTATGTATATGTGTATATGTATATATGTGTATATATGTATATGTGTATATGTATGTATATGTATATATGTATGTATGTATGTGTGTGTGTATGCATGTATGTGTGTGTGTGTATGTGTGTATATGTATGTATATGTATGTATGTATGTATATATGTGTGTATATGTGTATATAAGTGTATATATATGTGTATATGTGTGTATATATATGTGTATATATATGTATATATATGTGTGTGTGTGTGTGTATATGTATATATATGCGTGTGTGTGTCCGTATATGTATATATATGTGTATATGTGTCCGTATATGTATATATATGTGTATATGTGTGTATATGTGTGTATATGTGTGTATATATGTATATGTGTGTATATATGTATATGTGTGTATATATGTATATATATGTATATGTGTGTATATATCTATATGTGTGTATATATGTGTATATATGTATATGTGTATATATATGTGTGTGTGTATATATGTATATATATGTGTGTGTGT